CTAATTTGATAGTGAGTTTCTCAACCATTTCGCTAAAATGCCAGATGAATACGGTTTGAAACCAAAACTCTCTATTATATCGGCGGTTCCCTTTCGCCACATTTCGCCACATTCCTGATCATTAACTGCATTTTGTTGGCCACACAATCTGTCGCCATAAACCGCACCGAACCGAATGTAAACCTCTATTGAGCAAACTTGATTTATGAGCGGTTGCAATTGCAGATATTTCGCTATCGCCGCACTCTCACTCTCTTCTGGTCCATTTGGAAATTGCATGTCAACGGAAATTGCTTAATCATTTCCACGCATATCATGTATACTACTATATACCATACCATATGACTAATCCCATCTGTCTGTCCTCTTCCTTTCTTGCAGGTAAGTTTCACCGATATCGTTGTTTTTTGGGCCATAGGCAATCAAAGGAAATCGTTGCGTAAGTCAATAAAAAAACGGAGTTGATTTGTTTACTTAGGACTTCCCCTTGGGGAGGACTTATATAATCCGGTTCCTGCAAGGAAGTGGGTTGTACATAAAAAAGGGAGCCATTAGCATGTGCAGTCTAAAAAAAATAAAGTGAGGCCCATAATGGATTTTCCAATCAATGCAGGCAGTGATTATGGTTACCAGTCGCGACCAATAAAATTATTGGCTCATTTGGTCAGGCGGCTAGCAAAATACGAGGGAAATAAACTGAAGAGATACCCTCCACTCCTTGATTATCATGACCATCATATCTCCTTGGCTCAACCACCACTACCTGACCCCTTGTCGCGCCTAATGATCTTTAACCTGGCCAACAACGATCCCATCTCGGCCCAGACAGTCTGCCTCTTTTGTTGTTATTGATCGCTGTAAAACACAGCATTCAAACGTGCGTCGAGTACTTTGTATCTGTGTATCTTTGTATCTGGCGAATGCATTTCGTTGTATCTCAAGTGTCTGGGCTTGTATCTTTTTTTTACGAATGTTTGCCCGGCTCATTTGCAAAATCTGCTGGGTAATCAGACACCGGCTAGGGATGTCAATTAGCTTTTGCTGCTGTTTTGCCAAGTGCGTGACCATTGAACCTGCATTTCCCATTTCCCTCCTGCTGGTGCTGCTTAAAGTGAAAGTGAAAAATGGCAGTCGTTCAATGAACTTGCTTGGGAACTTGGCAAAATAAAAGAAGTTAGGCTCTCCCGCCCCCAGAACTAATTGAAGATTTCATATCTCGGATTTTATAGCCTTGGCCCTTCGCAATCTCAGTCGACTCCTAGAGTAAAGCAGACAATTTATGATACAAATTAAATGCATGGAAATTATGATGAATGCGAGGCAAAATTTATGCTGATGACATACCCAACAAAAGAGCGCCAATCCGCCCAGACTCCTACGGCTCCCTAAACTACTCCTCCTCCTTCTGCTCCTGCTCCTCCGTTTCCTGGAGGGCAGCTCCAATCAAGAGCCAGACGATCCACAGACAACAAATCGCCGAGTCGAGGAGTTTGTGGCCCAAGTCGTTTGTTGTGCACTTTTACACAGGGAAGAATATTAAGCTCCTAGTGGGTACTAATTGATATAAAATCGCACTCAAAGGTGTCAAAAAGTATGCAGTAGAAAAGGATAATAGTAAGGAATAATAATTCAATATATTATTGCCTACTTCTAGACACTTTCAAAAAGAATTTTAAAATCCAAGTTGTTTCAGTACCACCCGTGATAAAAGATTTTTCAAGGTTAATAAACCTACCCAACCGCATACTATTTAAAAATTAATTAGCGTTCTAATTGCTTTCCTGAACATACAGATATTTTTAATTTTATTTTATACAATTAACCTAAATATTTAGAAATTACTTTTAAGGGACTGTTTCAAAATGGGAAACTTAATCTATATATATAAAGCTTACCCTTAAATTTTAGCAATGAAGACAGATGAAAAACCGGTAAACAATCTGGGAAAACTTCTAAATTTTCTGCTAGTTTACTAGATTTTTGTTTGGTATTTTATCCCAGTGTAGGCCTGGGTCTGGTCCTAAGATCCAGTGCCTCCCGCCCCTCCCTTTATCGCTTTTTGAGCAGCTGCCGAGGTGGGGAATCCAGCCACTTGGACTCCTTGTGGCCTGTGCAGCCTGCCTCTAGCCGAAAGTTGTTGCGTATTTAAAATGGAAATTGCAAGTTTTTCGCTTAACGTTCCCAATGTCTCCTTCCCTGTCTCTCTTGCTCGCTCGTCGGCGCTTTTGTTTCACTTTCGTTTGCTGATTGCAGGTTTTTTGTTTTCAGCTTATTTTGATTTTATTTTTCCCCGTCTCATTCGGTGCATTTATCACGGTGCCACACATTTGTGCCACAAGATGCCAGAAGATCGGGCAGGCATGGCCAAAGAAATTGGCAAAAAGCAGCCCCAAGTATCATTTTCCATTTCATTTTCATTTTTGCAAATTGAATGCGGTTTTTCAGGCTGATTTCAAGGGTGTGCGATTATTGACCGGGACACGCCCCCCTCGTAATCATATTTGGGTGAAATTTCTTACCAAGATACCATCTTGTCCATCCGCAGTTTTGTCATCTTTGCCTGTTCGGCTGACAGGTTATGAAATATTTCGCAACTTTTGCTGCGAATAATTTCCTGTTTATCTTTATTTCACTTACGCACTTCTCTCCTTCGACTGAGTTCGGTGGGTCTCTCGGCCGATCGGTATTAATTATTATGGTCTCGTTTTTTTCGCCCAACCAATTTTTTGCAGCTTTTATTTTTAAAGCCCGGCGAACCTGTTGCAATGCGTTCCACAAGCTGAGATTTGCGAAAGGGTGTGGGGAGATAAATAGCTATGAGGTTTTGGGTTAGGTTAGGTTGGGCCGAGCATAGGAAATACTGGGAAAGGGTTTTTCTAAGAGGGAAAATACATATTTTGACTCAGCATATAATATAATGTTCGTATAAAATGCAGCAATGTTTACTATCCTAAAAACCATCTTATAGCTTTACCAACCCAAATACTTACGCCCCACGCTTTATCATCCCTTAGCCTTTCACCCATTAAAACCATTTAGCATTCATTAAGCCCAATTTCTGGCCTCATAGTGCTCGGAATAATCAACAAATTAACTAAATTCCTAGTGGGCGCCTCCATCCACAGTAATAATCCGAATTCCGAAGTTGTGACAACAAGAAATGTCGAAGCGATTTCAAGAGCAGGCCCAAGAATCGTGCAACCGTACATTCCAAAATGGGGCCCAACCTGTCCGATCCAATGGTTATCACAGATATTTCCCAACATGTTCGAAGCGAACCTCATTATGAGGTTGCATGGAATCCATGAGATACAATCCACAATTCACTTTGTGGCCACAACCCAGCGGAATTTCAATTCAGTTCGCGCTCAACTCACAGACACGATGGTCATGCAAACGCGTTAACGAAAAATATATAAAAACTAAAATAAATAAAAACACGAATTCACATAATAAACACACTAAAATATGCACTAAGCAACGTACTGTACCCAACGACCTGTAAATAATTGTGTAAATAAACTAAGGCATAAACACATCAAAGAGAAACCGCGAAATACTAAAAGACCGCTCAAGTTCCCATACATTGAGCTGGCCAATTGTGTTTGAAAATATTTGTTTGATCGATTTCGTGTGTGAACAACACCTTGTGAAGGCATTTGTAAAACCCATTGCCATAGCAAGCAAAGTGTGTTAAACAGGAAAAAGAACACCCTCTCAAAAGTTTATATATACTCGTATCTACAACCCCCTTCGATCGGGTTAACCAACCAACCTACGACAAGAAAACAGAGTTTAATACACACCTCTTCCTTTTAAAGTTTCGGTTTTTACGCGCCTGCTGACTAATTTACTTTTATATAGCCCGACTATATAAAACTGTACAATAAGACACGGCCAACTCTTATAATTTTGGAACGCCTCAGTTAAAGCTGGAAATCGCTTCGCTCTCAAGTGAAGTTCTAGATACTCGCAGCGAAAACGTTTTTCAATTGATTTTCATTAAGTGAGAAAGTCTCGAGAACGCCTTCTTTTTCGGTTTCTATGAGAACACAATTGCACCAGATCATAAAAAGTGAACTGCATTCCAAGTAGAGCAAAACAGTAACAACTTAATCATCGTGGTATCATCAAGATTCAGATGCTGCATAATTAGCATTCGTTTGTGTGGAGCAACGAAATAAAAAGAAGCGGAAAATGTATCTCATACAGGTGAGGCCAAGCGATACAATAGATCTCCCTCTCATAATTAAGTGTTTGCTCTTACTTATCACATGCTGGCGGCACTGCACTCGCAGACTGAAAAAGATCTTCATTTAAGCGTTTTTTAATTGTCCGCCAGCTGAGATTTCTTTACTTAAGATCCCCCCTCTGATGTGAAATCTGTGTGTGCGTGCCTCTCTAGCGTATATAATTTGTTTAATTTGTAGCTAATTTATCTTTCCACTTGGCGGCGGGTAGATCGTATAGCAAACGTATAGGGGTTCACTGGAGCAGGTGTCTCTCATTACTGCACTCTGAACTTGAAACGGTGTTACGATTTACAGCTGCTAATGGAATACGGTTAGATATCCGGGGTTTGAGGTAGCAGAACGAAATGTTGGCTTTGGATTTAAATTACAATCAAATATTTGGACATACCCATGATCATCAATCATTTTAATATTATTCATAGTCCTTAAAAGCTTATTATATATGTTTAAAAGCCTTTTCTAGAGTTTGGCAATACGATCAATTCTGAAAACTTTCCCATTTTTAAGGTATTTTTTTATTTTCCTTGATGATATTATTACTAGTTAAAAGGATATTTACCCACTTATACAATAATTTCTTTTCAAATTTGCTTTCCGCAATAATAAAACAATTTCGTTATGAAATCAGTAACCTTAGATATATCTGTCATATCATTTTTCATCACAAGTGTTAAGGTATTGCATAAATTAATCAGAAATCTAAAGGAATTCTCCGAACTGAATAAAAATTAAAACAAAATTTATTAGATCTAAAATGTCTGAAAATTCGCAACCTCGTGAATCCGAAGTTACCTTGACTGTGCTGCACGCCATATCGGAGATAGTGAATACTGGTCTAAGTAAAGAATCTCTCAAAATCTGCATGGAACTCTTGGAACATGGTGTTTCATCTCTGGCATTAGCGAAAGCCATTAAAGCCATTAGAAAGGGAGTTGAAAAGAAGAAAGGTGAAGAAGAGGACTCTCAATCGGAAAATGCGGATTCCGGACAACCATCTCCCGTAACATGTAGAAAATTATTCTGATTCTGAAATTTATTTCAAACATGTTCAAATTTTGTTCCTCAAATTAAAAGTTCAGCTTCCAGTTGTTCTGCCTTTGTATATTCTTTGAAACTAGTTTTAAGGACATCCATCTCAAGTTTTTCCAAGGTTCTAAGATTCACCCACGCTATTTGTGTTCATTAATCGCAGTTTATTGCGATTATTTCTGAAAACTGTATAAGTGCCAGCCAATATAATAAAAAGCTGCACCACTTTGGCTTGATAGTAGGTCTAAAGGATGAGATAATCTTTAGTTTAAAGCAATAACCAAGTGAAGAACCACACACTTGCCTGTCTTATATAGATGGGCAATGGAATATGCGACCGATGAACGTGATAATCCATTCCTCTAAAAAGCCAATAGCCAGGCCACGCCCCCAAACTGGCGAAAAGAAAAGGGGCGGCAGTATTGTAGGCGTCCTCGAAGGATTTTGAATGCACCAATTGACTTATTTCCTCGCCAAGATTATGCATTTGAGGTGGGCTGACCATTTCCCTGGTTGGTTCCTCTTTTTTTGTGATCTTCAGGATTTTCTCCTTCAGATTGCCGTAATAGTTCTGGATGCCCATTTATGGAATTATGGAATTTATTTTAAACTTATTTTTAGAATAATTTTGACTGAGAATAGAAAGATATATCAAGGCTTACCTGTGCTAAGAGGTGTCTTCAATATCATCTTCTGGCTTTTTATGGTGCACTGTTTCCAATTTTATAGGCATGCCGGCAGTTTGACCCATTGAAACCGTTAATAGACCAGTAGCTATGATGGCCATTTGCATCAGCTTGGCCTGCTGATAGGTCTAAAAAAGTACTTTTTTAAGTAAAATTTAGGATTATAATCAACATTATCCCACCCTTTGAATGTAGAAACCAATTCTCTCTGTTTTCCGTTTAGATTGCCAATTGTATCCACGCCAAAACCAAAAAGCTGGCCAGGATAAAAAGCTGACTTGCAAATAGGGCATCATATCCATTATCTTCTTGGAAAAACCCTTGGGAGCATTTCGTTCCACAAAGTCCACAAACTCCAGTTCATAGTTTATAGGTTGGTATGTTTGTTTCTTGAACTTTTGCAACTTCAGATCTGGTGTTGGCAAATCCGCAGAGGTTATGGGTTCCGTGGTATCAGATGGAGAAGTGTCGTCTGGCTTCTCAGTTTCCTGATTTGAAACTTCCGATGATCTGGCCCCTCCAAGGTTCCCTTCATCATCCTTTGTGGTCACGGAGCTATTAAATAACTCGGAAAACTTCTGGCGCAGCGTATCCATGCTGAAAAACTGATTTTTCCACTTAAAATTTAAAATTTTCCTTTAGGTGCCAAACTGAACAAGGAAAGCTTACTGTGTTTTTGGTCGAAAAGTTCACTGCATAAATTATCCCCTTAACTCGTTGTTCGTTCATGCGGGCTTACATTTGTTTTGAAACTAATTTACCTTACTTAATTTTTATATTTGTGTGTCTTTTTTATTTTGGGGGCCCACAGAAGCCGCAGAACAAGCTTTATTACGGTGCGACTGCGGGTGCCCAAGACTGGGGTTCTATCGTGTAGTATAGTATGGAATGGTATGGTATGGTATATAGTGTGGTGCCGAAGTGGGTCAGTGCAGCGGTTCATGCAATTATAAAGCGCATATCTACAGGTTGCATACCAGATAGATACCTCCACTTCGACTTGGACTTGGGTCCATTGTGTGGCGGTAGCTAACTGCTAACGGCTTGGACAGCAGGTGTCTCCTCAGCTCATTGTGTTTTATTTTTGTGTGTTGTGTTCTCTATGTTTTGTGTTTTTTTGGTTGTAAATGTGGCTTACCTTCGACGAAAATTTTTGTGTGTGCCAGCAGCTTCCTGCCACTATCTGGATTCTGTAAACTAGTTTTTCCCTCGCTCGATGGAGAACGCCTAATGATCAATGCATTTAATCAAGTAAATTACGAAAATACCGAAAAGAAAAACAATTTAACGGTGGATAGTATGGCTTATACCGATATATCTCAATGGATTCTCCTCCTGGGACAAAGACGCCCCTAATGAAGTGAAAATCTTTGGTTCTATTGAGGTAGTTCTTTGATTAGCCAGCGGAATGTGTTTGAAATATTCTTTAGCCGTTCCTGATGGTTAATCAATCATGTGGAAAGTTGACATCTAACACTCTAACAGTGCTTTGCAGATCTGCAGATGAATGGAGAAGTCTTAGAATTGATCCACTTGCCCACTTATTTACCTAAGCGTATCAGTATTACCATTTTAAAGCCATTATTTCTCCCCGTTTCCAGCATCTTTTCTTCAGACCGAACTACTCAAGCGTTCAGTTTGTATGGGGGGCTTTCATTCAAGACGTTTTGAAACCACAAATTGCATTTGTAAGACTTCAGACATACAGATCGATTCCCAAACTCTCCGTCTCTCGGTGTTCTATCTACACATTTCTCTGGAAACCAGCCTACACACAAAAATCCTTCTACCCTTTTAACTGTTCAAAGTCAAGCCCAATTAACCCAATTTCAATTTGGAAAATGAGTTGCAAAAAGCCAAATAAATCGTTTTGAAAGTCTTGGGCCTGTTGTCAAAACACTCGAGCATAAATCACCACTACAATGAAATTTCTTTTGGCCAGAAAACGCCAACTCGCCAACTTTTGGGCCCACCTGCAATTAGTCTGCTCAGGTGGGTGTCTGGCCTCTCTTTCACTCCTCGAATCGTGTGAAATTGCAACTTTAACTGCGGTCAATGCTAATACACCTTTCGGCAAAAACCATTTACTGGTAAATGGTAAATTGTATAATCAATTTACGGCTATAAATGTCTGGCTTTTCTGTGAAAGGTCTGCTCGGGCGACAGGTGACGACACTTCAGGTGTCAAGTGCGCAAAATTCGTTTGAGATTGGTTACCAAAAATGGGTAACATTTTATTACTTCAACGAGAAATTGAAATTGTGATGTTCAGGTATTGTGAGTCGTTTAACAAAAAGTTAAAAGATCAATTAATGTGTAAGAAAGTTTAAAGATTTCGGGGCTGAGATATAAGATCTACGCTTAAAGTACCTAACTTATGACCTTAAGAAGACTGCAAGTTCCTTGCTTCTCACCTAACAACCCATACGTTTCTTATAGAATTTTCATACTTAAAAGCTTTTAAAGCGAAGACCATCTAAGAACTTTCAAAATCCGTTTACCTTGACTTTCCATCAAGCAGCAATCTTGATCTTTTTTCAACTGCATGTGCCCCTTATCCACTTTGAGCTACCGGCCTTGTCGGTGAAGCAATGGATCTTCAATCTTTTGGACCTGCCTGCAACGGCAAAAAGCCAATCCCCAATAGCATGTCTCATCATTCTTATTCTCTGCATTATTATAAAATGCCGCATCACTCCCCGCCAATCTCGACTAACCCATCTCCGAAAGGGGGCCCGCATACCAAAACCCCGAGCATATTACTCAATTTTCAATGCTCAGATTTCGGACAGACAGCGAAAAACAAAGGGCAAAACGAAGATGCCACACCAGACTATATAAACACAAACAATGCTTACAGTTGACACTTTGACAAATGATATTGCGGCCGAGTCGATAAGAACTCGGAACAGAAAGCCCCATACATCAAAAATGCGACATATTCTTCCCAGAATTTTATGTTATTGAAAAAGAAAAAAAACAAATACTAAAGTGAATGTGATGCTTAGGCTATCGCTAATACCTTGGATTGCCGTTACACTGGGTCAACAACTTGGGAAAAACGAGACGGAACTCATCTAAGCTGATATTGATATGGATTTGCTCTAGATTTACACATGAACGAGTTGATGATCCTCAAATAACGTCTGTGGTTTTGTATTCAAATTGGGTTGGGTTGGAATCGGTTGGGATCGGTTCGATGGGTAATAAGACTCTTACTATAGGAGTCACTGGCCATTTGATCTTGGCCAGTTTAAATCCCCGGCTAAGCCTTGTGGAATTTTGTTTGTGTTTTGGGCGAGGCCTTCATCCTCTTTGGGATTCCTTTCTCTTGTTTTCTGGGGTGTGGACCATATAATTCCGCATTCCCCTGACATGAAATATGTATCAATTTAATTACCCCGAAGTCCTGAACACGCAATTAAAGTTCTGGGGGAACCCTTTTCGAACCATCCCTGAAATGCCTTTGTATCTTTTTCCGAAACAAACATTTTTATGAGGTTGCAACGAACAATGAGACGACACACCTACAACTACCTGAAACTAAAGAACAGGATTCTGTAATTCCTTGAAATGGCCAAAGACTAGAGAATAGAGAAAAAATAAATACCCTACGCATTTGATTCCTACCTGTTTCTTTCTTCGCCGGCCTTTCTTCTGCATTTTCCGTAGATGATTTATCTTTGACACACTCATTTCGTGCCCTATCAATTGGAAAAAGAGGGGATACCTTTGAATTTAAATATTTTATGAGGCTTCAAGTTCATTGCCTTTGAGGCGTGGTTCTTAATGCAATCAAAAGCCATTTGTAAAGGTGTTTTTCGTAGGCGTAAGAGTTTTTTATTTCGGAGTTTTTGAATCACCCCAAGTTTTGATAGCATTTCATTTCAACGAACGTAGCGAATCAGGCGCATATATTTCCCACCTAGAATCGTTTTAAAAGCGGAACTCACGCTCCAATGTAATTCGATAGACCCACGAGGAAAACTTGTTTCGTATTTGTATTTTTTCCATCGATAAACTTGGCATGACGACTGAGGCCACGAGTCGAAGCAGGCATTATTTTTATTGTTGCGCCTTTATCTATATTTAATTTAATCGATGCAAACGCTTAAGAGTCATGAACATTGGATACTACTGCCCGATGACCTTCAAATGTCTGCAAAGAAATGCGTTAAAAAAGTTTAACTTAATGACCATAATTATGTTCGATTGAACCACTATATCAGCTTTTTTTTCGTGTATTATTAAGCGAAATTATTGGTCATGTGATTGCCGCACGTGTTTCAGCACTGGAAAATAAAAAGAAATCACAAAATACGCTTCGTATGCTGATGCTGATGTGCATGTCCATGTACCCATGACACATGTCAGGTGGAGATTGGGGGGATGAGGGCAATCCCCTGCGTCTGACATTGATGAAATGGGCTTTTATGGCCATGTTTTTGGAAATGGGGAGTTGTGTAATTGTTGTCTCACGTTGAATGGCATGCCGAATAGAGGTATGATTTATTTTCTTTGTTACTGACATAAAGGCGAATAAAGGGGAAAAGTTTTACTCCTTAAAGGTTTCAACATATAGAATATGTCATACATGAAACACCTGGCTAATATTCTTTAAAATGGCCTGTTCTTATGCTGGTTCCAATTTGCTTTTATTATTTCAAGCTGCCGTGTGCACGTCGCCTGAGTAAATGAAATTTATTACGTGATCGTCGCGGTCGACAACTAAATCTTTTGCATTAAGTGGAAAAATAATCTCGTAAAAAGTAGATGGAAAATATAATGGAAAATCACTAGAAAAACACATGTGTGGTCCAAAGATGCACTGAAGTGGGGAAAGAAAAGGCAGATTGATATCTTAAGATCTAGATCGGGATAGGTTGCACAGAAAAAAACATGAGCATATAAGTTGAAACACTATTTTTCTTCAACTGTTTCTGCTGTACTTGCATGTGCACTCAATTGTTTGTTCAGTATTTTGAAACCATTTCTACTATGAAATTTGCCTTTATTGCACTTTTATGTGGCTCACCACGAAGAGTTTGTTATGATAAATAATAATTCAATTCCAAATTCGATAGAAACTCAATTTTGATGAAGCAATCGCTGGATGCAATTGCATAAAGAAAACAATTTTCCAATTTTGATTTCTTCTCGGTTTTCTGTTACTCTTTTCAAACCCATTTCTGTTTCCAGTAATTACCAAATCCAATTAAGTTCAATAACAACAATTTGGGTGGGAAGGAGAAGACAAAACAAACAAAATCAGATGGGGTTTGCTTTTTAATTACTCGGTTTAGCCCTTAGTTTATTGCTCTTTATCGCAGTCCCCTTTGCTCAGTTGGCCATTTGGTCATTTAATTGAAGCCCCTTAAGGGCAAGTTCGATGATATATCTTTAGTGCCGCCTTTCATTTGATGATGTCGGCTACTTTTTATTGTCAAACAGCAAACACAAACACAAATCGATGACACTCTTTGGAACTGGGGGTCTTTAAATAGGTTTAAGCCTGGGCGAAAAAAAAACAAAATCGATAGTGCGTAAGTGCTGAGTTTTTGTGTTGACCGCTGCCTGTCTTTCATAAAGAAGAATGTCAAGAGGCCACAATAATTGCAACTAATCCGCAATGAAGGCTCGAACCTTGGGCCACAAAATCTAGACCACCTGTCA